CCCGACTGATACAGGGCTTAATTGGCGGGTCATCAGTAACCGCCAGCCACCGATGAAGCTTCGCGCAGGTCGGGGCCCTGGGAGCCGTCCAGTGAATCGGGCGGCTCCGAAACCCCACCACCTCCCATTGGGGCGAGTGCCCCAGGAGGAAACTCTGCCCTGCCCGTTTTTTTCCAGGCCTGGCTCGCCCAACCCCCAGCCATCAAGTTCATCAAGTCAATCAAGTCCGTCAAGTTCGTCAAGCCGCGTTTCGCCCGGGCCAGAAGGCCGGAGGAGCGACGGCCGCGCCGTCATTTGTGAGCCCGCCCCACAATTGGACGGACCGTCTGTGAGCCAGCCCCACAATTGATTTGGCCATGTGTCTGCCAGCCCCACACTTGATTTGGCCATGTGTGGGCCAGCCCCACAATTGATTTGGCTATGTGTGGGCCAGCCCCGCAATTGATTTGGCCATTTGTGGGCCAGCCCCACAGTTGCGCTGAGTCTGGGAGTGTCAAATCCGTCACACCCTCAGATCTAGGTTGTGTTGGATTTAACACAACCTCGAATCTGAGTTGTTGTGGATTTGCGACACCCCCTCACAGCACCAGCAGCTCGGAGCTAGTAGCCCGGCTGGCCCCGACGCAGAGGTGCCGCAGGTTGAAGTGCTGCGCGCCCGCGTCCAGCAACCTGAATTTGCAGTCATGCCATGTACATAAAATGTACAACCCACTTGAAACACAGATTGAAACACAAGTGGAGGATGTATATGAGCTCAGCTGTACAAGGACTACACACGTATCAGAACTCGTCACCGAAATCATGTTGGTCAGACCCGCTCACTTCCCAAAGTCACAAGTCCAGTTCCAAATGGAAATGATAACATCAGGCATTGCAAGCGCCGGTATTTGCATAAGAGCAGAGGCAGTGCCACATCTCACGTTCCCAGGAACTCAAGCGCAGCCATGAAAGCATGAAAAATACATTGCTGCAATCCGCCTTCTCAAGCTGCATCCAGACCCCTTTGAGGACTGGAAAGGCCAACTCGAAGTGTTATCGAGACGGCCGCATGGAATCCTGCATCGGGGGAGGGGCAAAGCTAGGGAGGGTTGCGCAAGAGCTTCAAGGAGCAACATGCGTGGTGGAAAAGGCCGCGCTCAGGTTTGGATCTTTCAGCTTTCGACTTTGCCGAGTGTTGTACTGCACAATGCCACCACCCCTCAAAGACTGCTCTGCAGCAATATCTCTTCATCGGGCAAGACGTCCCAAAACCTCCCACAATCACCGCAGAAGCTAACTGTAAACTTAAACATGTTGTTGCACAAGTGTATTTCCCATGTCGCCATTCCAGCACCAGCGAAGCACCAGGTCGCGCGCCAGTCACATGAACTGAGATACGCAGCACTCAGCCCCTCACACGCGGATGTACAAAATCCCATACGCGTGACGATACAAACCGGCATCTGACATAGTGTCCAGAGGTGGGAATACCACCATAGTGACAAAGCGCCGCAACTGGTTTGTATTGCGCATACATGATTTGCAAATCCTGCATGAAAACTGGGAGATTGATAACATCAAGCAGATGCTGCACTGAGTTGGTATGTCTGCGTAATCGGCCGGATCCATCAGGGAGGAATCTTCCAACCTGAATCACGACGACCGCAGGCGCATGTATATAACCCACCACATGGGGCCCTGACTGCCAGGCATTGAGGAGTACATGAATGGAGCCCTGCGACGAGGCAAAACAAGTTGCACATGAACACCTCGATCAACAACGCCAACCTCTCCATCCTCCTGCCGTCTGGCTTGCCACTCACCCAATTTATCAGCCACATTGGCCTGCCTGAGCAAATAGAGTAAAAACTCCAGGGCATCATGTTGCGTCGAAGGTCGAGGTTCATCCTTGACTAGTCCGTTACGCATGCTATGGAAGCGAGGGTTTACTAACAGACGGACAGTTCAGTAAACCCCTTGAGAAACGCACTCCCTTTTTGACGCAGTTGGCAAACAGAAAAGTCCTTGGCAAGCCCTACAGACAGAAAAGTCTACCTGGCCTACGGGCAGCGCAGCAAGGACGGAATTCTGATGCCTGAAAATCCGACGGACGGAGATTCAAGGCAAGCAGAACTCGCACAAGGTGCGCCTACCTACTCGACCAGGACCAAATCCAAGGGATCACTGGGAGCGGGCGGACAGAGCGTGCTCGACTGGGACCAAGACCAGTGGATCACCAGGAGCAGGAAAAGAGGCTCGACCCGGACCAAGACCAATGGATCACGGGGAGACGGAGGCAGAACACTATCAACCCGGACCAAGACCAGTGGAACACGGGGAGGACAGACAGTGCATACGCAAGCTCGACCAGGACCAAGTCCAATGGATCAACTGGGAGCACACAGGCAGAAAAGGAGAAAGGCGGAGCAAGGGGAAGGACGGTGGGAATCCAAAATCGCTATGCTCCACCTGCGAGCAAGGATGCTGCGGGCAGAGCATCCTTGCCGTTGCATCATGGGATAAACACATAGCATTAAACTCCATATCGTTCATCCTTGACTAGTCACTAGTCCGTTACGCATGCTATGGAAGCGAGGGTTTACTAACAGTAAACCCCTTGAGAAACGCACTCTCTTTTTGACGCAGTTGGCAAACAGAAAAGTCCTTGGCAAGCCCTACAGACAGAAAAGTCTACCTGGCCTACGGGCAGTGCAGCAAGGACGGAATTCTGACGCCTGAAAATCCAAACGCCATTGAGCTAGAGCTCGACCCAGCGGGGAAGAAGGCCGTCCGATGCTGAGAATCTCCATTGTAAGAATGTCCACATTCTGCACAAGACCACTGGCGTGGAGAATACGCGCGGCAGTGCGCGCCGCAATCTCAGGGATGCGTTCAGCCATGCCCTGAGTCGCCGTCGATGTGCTCTGCATCTCATCCATGTCCACGGGGAGGGCTTTCACCCTCTCGTCTGGAAGGAGACTTGTCGCGGGTCTGACTATGAGGTCAGCGGCATCCTGACCTCCAGGTGGAAGTCCATCATCAGAGCCCCAGGCCCCGTAGGGGAGAACAGTGGGCCTTGTGGACTTGGTCTTTGAGAAGTGCTTTCCAGAGCCCTTCCCCGTCTGCTTTCCAGTCTTGCCCTTGCCACCACTCTTTTTGCCCTTGGAGCCGTGGCGTCCGAAGTCGCCTTTTCCTGCTTGGGCGGAGAACGTCCTTTACCTCCTTGATACGCCTGGTCATCGGAGGAATGCCGAGGCCGATCGTCATGAGGCTGGTATGCATCATTCCTGGAGCTCTGGCGGCTGCGAGCAGGCGGTAGCGTAGGTGGCCGATGTAGCAGGGCCCTGCTGACCAAAGTGATTCCTCTGCGAGGAGAACTGCTGGACCTTCGCTCGAAGGTGCGGTCATAGCGGCGGCGGCTTCTGGTCCTTGATCTCTTGGGGGACCGGCGGCGATCCTGACTTTTGGATCTCTTAGTCTCCTTTTGGTGTCGTCTTCCGGAGGAGCGTGGTCTGTCAGACCGGCTCAGGCGGGAGTCATCACGATCTCCAACCTTAGCACGATGGCGCCGGCCATCACGGGGTGAGCCCACGGGGTTGATCACGGACTCGGTGTCGAGGGGGATTGCGTCGAGATTCATCTCGAGATCCGGCACGCTGGCGACGAGCAACATGACGGTGACC